AGATGATCTCTAGAGGTCCCTTCCAACCTCAACCGTTCTGTGAGTCTGTGATTCTGTGAATGCTGTCTGTGGCCTGTGGCAGGGCAGAGGGCCTCCTCCTGGCTCGCAGAGCAAGGGAGGAAGCGCCAAGTCCATCCTGCCAGGGACAGCCGCACGGGCGCACGCGCTGCTCACGCATCCATGTGTATCCTCGCATGCGGCGCCGGGTGCTGCTGCAGGAGGTGCTGGGAATTTGGGAGGTCTTAGCATTAGTTTGCGTTTGGCCAAGTATGCATCAAAAAGTAGGACCTGTATTTCAGAATAGAACCGTAATTTCCAACAGTGCTAGGAGAATGAACATGTTTAACATTTGTCACTTTAGTTACACTTCTTTTCAATAGTTATGCTAATAAAGGCAGATTCAAACTGCACTTTAGGTAAGAAATTACTTCACAAGCTTGACCTGAAGGGTGGGAGAATAGGAGCATGAATTTGAGCTTGGGGGAAATTGATCTTATTTCATGTTTTTTTTTTTTAACCAAATATTTGCGGGTTTACAGTACAATTCTGTTTGCAACTGAAGAAATACATAAAATAAAAAATGCTGTGGCAGCTTCCACATCCCAGTTCCTGGGAGGCTGTGAGGTGACATCAGGTTAGCTATTAAAATGTATACTCCATCTGGAAGGAAGACTGGAAGGAATCTTAATAGAATAAAAATTGTATTACTGACCTAACACGAACTTTTGTAGTTTGTAAAGGAGTTAGATGAAAAGTTCTGTTTCCAAAATACAAGAAGATTGGTTCATAAAGATATGCAGTTGTTTAATCTCTGTCTGTTTCCAAAATACAAGAAGATTTGTTCACAAAGATATTCAGTTGTTTAATCTCTGCTAATACTTATTCCCCATTTAGACAGATGAGAAATGAAACAATTCCATTTTTTAGCTACTTGGAAAAAAAAATGTGAGAGTTTTAAGAGGGAGGAGGTTTCTAAGGTAACAAACCAATAAATAAGTTTATTTCCAAAATAAGGAAAATTAAGTTTGAAGTATGTGCTGTAACTTCTGATAGGATAAAGTAGACAAGAGCATTTCTGAGCCTTAGCTGCACTGGATCATCATTTGCTATCTGTATTTTTTTCCTCTTTTTTTTACCAACTTGAAAATACCTGTGGATCTAGGTGCACGCAAAGATCCCAACAACGTTACTTCAAATTGTAGCAAAAAATACCGTCCTGATTGTAAGCACCCCGAAATGATGTCATGGACGTACAGGTAGGGGAAAGGGCAAAGGGGCAAAAGGTACCAACCGGCACAAACACGAACCGCGTGAACCCAGCTCAAGCCGGATGCAGCTTGCCGCCCAGACACGGGAACAAGCTAAACCCGACCTTTTCCGCAATGGGATGTCTCAAGTTATGCAAGCCTCGGACGAGGCTGGATTGGCTATCGGGGCGCCTGTAAGACACATGTACTGCCTTGTTTGCCTATAAATATGAGGTTGTAACCCAATAGAATTGCTGTTGGCCATGAGCTTTTAGCTGCTGTTTTTTGGCACCGGACCAACACGTACATTTATGTATATTTTAAACTCATCTTAGTTTGAAAAAAAGAAAAGGAACCATAACATGTTTGTGTCACTTAATCATTTTTAGATGACTCATGAATATATATGTAGAGCAAAAATTATGCGCAAGTGAAAAGGAAGCCCAGAAGTTTGGGGGTGATATTTCTGGATTGTGTCAGGAAGGGGAAAAAATCCATATAAGCCTGTATTCGCAAAAAATTTGACATACTGGATATCACACTTGCACTCTGATTTCATCAAAATTTTGGTATTCTTATACCCTAATGTTCGCTATAAATAGTTAATTACCGATGTACATTAATTTATCAAGTAAAAATTACCTGTAATTCAGGAAACCTGAAACATCACTGCTTGCTTCTTTAGCAAGTAATATAGTAAAGTAAGTAAAACTTAAAATAGTATATCAAAATTTAATATTTATCAGTTTTATTTTACATGTATACTAATAGATGTAAGTATTTGTATGCCTCTGTTTGGATGGACAAACTCTGTTGTGTTTTCATGGATATGTCTTGATGTGCTGGGGGTTTTTCTGTTTGTTTGTTTTCTAAGTTCGGGTGTATAAGAACTCGCACCAATAAGATCACAACTCAGGGCTAACAGGGTCTTTGCAAGGCCCGTGCTGCATTAACCTGCGGTCAGGTTCTGCGTGTGGGTCCTCCTCCCCAAGTAGGATCTGCTCCAAGGAGGAGAAGCAGAGAGAAAATTCGCAGGAGCAAATCGGCCTTCTCCAGCCTCTCGGGTGCTCTGGCTCTTCCCTGGCGGTCCCGAAGGCGGTGCCGGCGGAGCCCCGGCTCTGGGAGCAGGTCACATCCGTGTCCGGACGGCAGGTTGGGCAGAGGGTGCTCAGTCACGGAGGTTGCAGCTGGTGTGATGAGAGGATACAGTAGGAGAGAAGGGGTTAAAGCCAGTGTGAGAAGTTGGATTGAGGAACTTGGTGTCTTGAAATGAAGCGGGATTTTTCTGGAAGGCTTTAGTCACCTGGGAAAAAAGGATCGGGTAGCTGTGTGGGAGGCAATTTGCAGGCAAGTGTACTCCTCTGCAGTCGATCGGTACATTTTAATGAGGGAAGGATATTTGCTCAGCTTTATAGGATTTGCTTTGGACTGAAGGTCTGGAAGTCCTTTTAAACAGACTGCTTTGGGATGTAATGGTCAGATGGAAATATTTGAAGCCTACAACATGGAAATCAGGTGTTTGCAACATATTTGTAGGGTCCTAGGAACCAAGCTGTTTTCACCAAAAGATTTCCTTTTTTCAGAAGAGATTTTATGGGTAAGTAAGGCTCAGAGAGAGAATGTAAAAACACGAGAAGTTGGAAACTGCTGCAGCTTTGAAATGTTATTTATTTATTTAATTATTTACTTGTTTCCCTTTGTGGCTGTCTCCCAATCCGTATCTCCCGAAGGAGAGGTAGCCCCTGCCACTGCCAGGTTTGCAGAAGGCTCCTGGTTTTACGGTATCTGTTGTTACAACTTGGCTCCACTTGGGTGTTCTTTGGTTTTTTTTTTTTTGATTCTCTCTTCTCCCTGTAGAAGTGCTCTGCATTACATGTGTCACATTTGGCCTTTGACTTTTTAAATTCAGTTATCTTGACCTTTCCTGAGCTTGTCTTTGCTTTCTCCCTACTGTGGGGAAGGAGAGTTGGTACTAATTGTAGCATAACTTCAAAACGTGGATCAGCAGCATTTGAAGCAATCCTTACCTAAGCCGTTAAAAGAACAAAAACAAAATAAACATGTCCCCACAGTGCCAAAGAAGAAATTCCAAGGGCAATATAAGCTTCTGCCAATCTCTAGCGGTGTTTCCTCCTTTTCTCTAAGGTTTTCTGTAAAGACAGCTACTTAAATATCTTTTCACTAAAGCTTATAAAAGAATGGGGTGTGTTCTCTCCACATTTCACACAATATGTTTGGAAAAAATAAAAAAACACGTTTCTGTGGTCATTAGGCACCTCCATAGCCATGTTCAAACTTAGCTTAAAAATATCTCCCATGGTTTCCAGTGCCAGTTTCTTCTGAAAATCTTTTACTTCTGTATTTTCCTTTGCCCAAAAGTGTCGTCAGAAGCTGGGGTCAGTTCCCGAAGAGCAGAGCAGCCTTTGGGGGTAGCTCATGGAGGTGGGACTGGGTTAGGAACCTCAGGCACAGTGATGCCAGCATCTGTTTTGCTAGGAACGTTGTTACCTGAGACGAGGTTTTAATCCTACAAAGGCATGGAGAAGAACTGTCAAACACACCGTGTCAACTAAACATAAAGTTTACAGAATACTGCAGATTTCGGACATTTAGTGAATGTTTCAACAGAATTTTGAATGGTGGTTTGCATACTCATTGTACACATAGGCAAATTGTACAGTGGATAAGTTAAGCACTTAGTTGTGTTTTGCAAATTTGTGCCTGACCAAAAGGATCTGGTGATTTAGTAGACTTTTTAAGGTTTTAAGATATTACAACAAGCTTCTGTGTTTAAGTTGACATGTTACAGCAGTACTTCAGTTTGGACAAAAAACAGATTCATTCTTCAAGTAAGGATGCATATATATTTTTTTCTTTTCTTTTTAATCTGTTTGACCATCCTCGGTTTAACTTCACAAAGCTTTAGCTGGAAGAATTTAGCTGTGGTCTGACTTGTTATTCTGCCTTGGAGAATCCAACTGCAGCTTTGGAAGAGAAGGAGTGTTGTGAGCCTTGTCCTGCAGCAGGAGAGCCAGTAACAGGGGCAGCCGGCGCTGCAGCTGCGGGTCTGTGCCACCAGGCCCTACAACGCAGCAATGGCTTTGCCAGCATTGAGGCTTTGGTTCCTCTTCCAAATGCCTCTGAGAGCAGCGTGCCGGCACGTGCACCCGAAGCAGGTTGCAGCACAGCTGCTGGGAGAAGGGCTTCGTGCCAGGCGGCTGCGCAGAGGAAGCGCCACGGAGCAAAGACGCTGGAATTCCTGCAGGCAGATCAATAATGTAGCGTGAGAAAATACAGAAATACAGAAGTCCTGCTTTGGAGGGAAGTGGCACCAGCCTTCAAAAGTTACGGACTGATTCTTTTCTCTGCTGACCCGATGTTGATAAGCCGAGCAGCTTTTCTCATCGCCTCTATGCCCTTAGCTTGACGGAAGCGTAAATGAGTCGGAAATGAAGTGAGCGTGCTTCTAGGTAGCACTTGTACTGAGCACTTGTACTGCACATGGGCTCATGTGGAGTTTTAGGGCAGTCTGGATTCCATATTCAGTACTAGAAGCAGTGCTGGCAACCATCCGCACGTGCACTTTGCTGTAATTTCACTAATATAGGCCTCTTGCTTTCCGTCTATAATGGTGCAGTTTCTCATTCTGCCAAATTACAAAGCACAAATGTTGGGGGAAGGAGGAACAGATTTAGATTGGGGGTTGAAAAGATTGAGAAATGTTCTCTTATTTGTTGCGTTTCCAATTTTCAGGAGTTCTTTGAACATGCTAAAAAGCTCTGGGACGATGAAGGCGTAAAGGCATGCTTCGAGAGGTCAAACGAGTATCAGCTGATCGACTGTGCACAGTAGTAAGTGCTTATTTTTGTGTAATTAATAGCCAAAAATGTGATAATTTATAACAAGTTTGAAAGATGTGTTTTTAATTTCCTGGATCTGTGAGTTTTGTAATGCAGCAGTTAACATTTTATATATATGCTGAGCCTGTAGAGCGAAAGTAATGGATGCTTTTATTGTGGTTACCGTTATTATAAACTAAATGTTTTCTCTTAAATATTTAAGAGGTAATAAAGGTTAATGTGAAAGAAAAAAAAATCAAATAATTTTGTATAACTGTATTAAGTTTGAGATGGATTTACATAGAATTTTACATAGAATTATTTCATTTGAACGTATTACGTTTAAGAAATTCAGAGTCAGTCTAGGGATTCATGTTTTATTTTAAATCCTGAGACCTAAGCAGTGGTGAAATTGCAGTATGTTTTAAAATGTGATTAAGATTTCTGATATCTTTACCTAACAAAATGCATACCCACATTGCTATGATATGTCTAATATGTTTTCAAGGGAAAAACACGATGCACAATATCATATACACAGTAACATACTTTTTATTCTCACCTTTGCGCACTTCAGTTCGAGCAGTGCATGTGTGTAACACCAATAATCCTTAGAAGGGGGTCAGTTGACTGGAAACTTTCTGGAAAGAGCTGCGGTGCAGGAGCCTGTGAAGGTGCAAATCCTAAATCCGCAGCTCGCTGATGAAAACAGAACCACCAGGAAATGATGCCTTAGCCTGCCAGGGCTACCAGCCCCAGCTGTCCTCAGGAGCAGCGGGCAGCTCCGGGTTAGAGCTTGGCCAAAAATACACGTCTCATGTGCAGTGCTGCTCCAAAACGCCGCGGTCTCGCCGTTGCCGTGTGGTTTGGGGGCTTCACGTGTTGTGAGCTGTCTGCTTGGCGGCGTGGTCAGCAGCACCACCGCAAGCCCGTGGCAGCACTCGGAGTTTTGTTTTTCTGTCCTCTGTGCTCCCTGTTCCTAGCAGAGAAAACAGGCTGGGCAGCCAGAGGAGCTGGCGCTCTCCTGCCACAACGGGGAATTTCAGTGCTCTGGGTCATATTTTCTTTTCCCCCTTTCCAGACTATTTTGGGGAAAGAGAAAGATCCGGCAGTGATTCATCAGCACATGGAAGTGAGGAAGAATGACATATGTGTAGGAAGGAACTCGTTTGACCTCTGTGGACAGAGTTTACCAAAGTTTGGGCATTTGCTTAGGGACCAAATCAGCTAGAAATAAAAGCAGTGGTTCTGAATGATACCAGAAAGAAAAGGGAAAAAAAAAGCCTACAAAAAAAATCTACAAAGTTGTCCTGAGCTTGTGATTTCTGGGCTCCTTCTACCCACCACCCCAGTACTGATCTGACCTGTATTTGCTGCAACTCCTGACTCACTGTTCACAATGTCAGTTGATGTACTGAAAATAAGATGTCAGGCCAAGAAGACAGAATTATGACATGTATTTAAGTTACCTTAATATAAAGTTTACCTTACTGATCAGCAAAGGCACATGTCCCTCCCAGTCCTGCTTTTGGGTGGAAGGAGACAGCCGAAAAAAAAAAAGCCCTTGCACATTAATATGTGGCATTAGTATTAATGGTACCATATTTCAGGTAGTATCATCAAACTTAAAGAAAAGATCTGCCTCAGCACAAATTTTGACAAAGAGAAGAGCATTAAGGCTCACTGTTGCACCTAAAAGGGAAACACACACGGTGGAAAAAGGGTAGATCTAGAATCGAATACAATGTCCTGAATGAAATTTTAATACTTTTTTCCCTTAAAGCTTAAAGGAAGAATAATATTTTTTCTGTGTTTTCTCCTATCTAATTGGCTCTCATCAAGAGTTTTACGGTATCAGTTGAGTGACTCTCTCTCTATATATGTATTTTAGTATAATCCATGTAGTAGTATTTAACAGTACTTATAGGAACTATATTATTTCACCACAGATTTGCTCATTAAGGTGGTAAATATTAGGTTTGCACAATTCTCGCTCGTCCTAGTGTTTTATAAAACAGGGCTTAGTATTTACATTCCATATTTAGCAAATCTGGGCTTTTCATTTTGTGACCTGCCTGAAGATGTAATCGTTAAGCAACTCTTCCACATTTACAAGCCTCCTTAGAGTGGAGATGTGAAACTGGGGAATCTTTTGCCCACAGGTGTATATGGTTGTTGATTTAAAATAGTAAAGCATAGTCTTTGCAGAAAAAAAAAAAGGTACAAAAAGTATACCCAGCTTTTATTTGCTCTTCTATCATACCTCAAAAATTAAATGGGTAGTAACAGAGTCAATGGAAAACAAATAGAAGAGCTGCTGTGTTTTTTGCTACATACTTGTATTTATATATTGTGCAACAAGAGTAGTTGCTCTGCTCAGAAGGATTTTTCTCTGCTAGCATCAGAGGGACCTTGTTATTGAGAGAGATATCAGCCTTCCTGAAGTGGAGCATGTGAGACTAGGTTAGAAATACAGCTTTGAAATGTGTATGCATTTTCTTATGTGCACTTCGGAAATACGAGGGTGCTCTATTCCCGGTTAAATGGGAGTGGATGACAGATCTTTCCGAACATACCCATGGTCAGCTTTCATTGAAAAAGACAAAAAAAGGGAAGGAGATGTACATGATACCATGGGATTTCCAAATATCTGCAATGCTTTTATTGCACTGCCTTTGGGAGAAGGCATCTCAGGTCATCACCAATGTCCTTATCTTTTACTTGGCAGTGCAGTAAGAACATAGTCAGTAGGTCACCAGTAATTTCTCTGTTCTAAAGCCAACCCAAAACAAACAAACAAAACTTCTCCTGTTAAAAATAGCATTTACATGACATGTTGGATTGCCAACTTCGATATGCTGCAAGTTGTTACTAGTGAATTATAAAGTCAGCAACTAACTTGCCGACCATTAAGTGAATTGCAAATACACTGTATACTGTAATAATTTAATTTGGCCACGATACAGAGCATCTGTATTTCTAAAACTTAGCCTCATTTTATTTATTACTTTAGGAAAAATATTACTTGCATTTTAAATAAATAAATAAATAAGAAGTAATAGACACAAAAGTAAATTATTTGTTTACTTTGGGGAAAGCAAAGCAAAAGCAAAAATCGTTTTTGCTTTGTCTTAATGCCCTTTTAAATTATCAAGGTGCTGGTACTTCATGGAAATGAGAATCAGGGACTGATTATCAGGCCATTTTGATGTTGTTACATGGCTGCTCCATACTTCTAAATACATATCATGTTATTACATAAGACGGTATTTGTAACAAAAGGGGAGGCTGTGGCCAAGCAAGAGCTTTTCCTTGTGGTCCGACTGTGGTAGGTGTATCATTAGCAAAAATCTGAATTGCTCTTTATCACTAAGTACCAACATATTAAAATTTTGGAGGGAAGTATTGCATAGCTATAAAAAATGTATTTTCCTTAATGACCTACATATGTTTTCTTTTTAGATGCGTATCATAAAATTAGGTTATTTCTTGCCCAGTGTTCTGAATAACCTTTTCTTTCAAGTTAAATTTAATTTACAAAGCGTACATTTTTTAAATTTTATTTAGTTGTATTCCTATTTACTTATCTAGACTTCAGCAGGTTGATTTTGTTAATGACTCTTCTAAATTGCTTTCGAAGAGTTAACTTTATCTTATTTTCCACTACTGTGATTAAGTATATTTTCACACACTTTTTATTCTATGAAATCTAGCTGTACAAAAAACTTCCAGATTCTGATTTAGTTCTGTCATGGTATTGACTTGTCTAGAATATAAATTGTACTTTAAATAAATGATATTCATTAAAAATTTCTTGTCATTCTGGGACAGTTTTCTAAAAACTGAATAATTTCCTATAAGAGGAATACAGCTCCATTTTAAAATATTTATTTTTCTTCTTATTTGTTATTGAATGGCCAGTTTTTATTGTGTCCATGGAAGGGAACTAAAATCAAACTTTTATGAATATAGCACATATCAAAAGGAATGAAGGTTTGGGTATGATGGTCTTGATTTACCAAAAAAAAAAAGAAAAAGATTATGTGTCTGCATAAATCTGCATAAATTTGTACACATGTAAATAATTTATATGACAATGAAGATGTATGGTGTTTCCTTTTACTTAACAATAGCATACCACAAGTTGTTACTACCTGACAGTTTGCCACTATATATACAGGTGTGCTGGTTTCACTCTCATGCTGGTGAAAATAAGGTTTCTGTATAAGCCCTCTTATTTTACTGCAAATCTTATTCTGCCCTAGTTCCTGGCTGCTTTAGCGATCCCACGAAAGCCAGTCATAGAATCACAGAATCATTATGGTTGGAAAACACCTTCAAGATGATCGAGTCCAACCATAAGCCCCTCAACACCACGCCTGTTAAACCATGGCCCTAAGTGCCTCATCTGCACGTTGCTTGGACACTGCCATGGACTCCATCACTTCCCTGGGCAGCCTGTTCCAAGGCTTCACCACTCTTTCTGTGTAGAGATTCTTCCTTATATCTAACCTGAACTTCCCCTGGTGCAACCTGAGGCCATTTCTTTTTCTCCCATCAGTGGTTACTCTGAAGAAGAGACCAATCAACCCCCGCCTCCCTACAACCTTCTTTCAGGTAGTTGTACAGAGCAATAAGGTCTCCCTTGAACCTCCTCTTCTCCAGACTAAAGAGCCCAGCTCCCTCAGCTGCTTCTCCAGCTCCACTGCCCTCCTTTGGACACACTCCAGCACCTCCATGTCCTTCTTGTAATGAGGGGCCCAAACCTGAACACAGTGTTCGAGGTGCGCTGGCTGTCGACCAGCACCCCCAGAGCCTTTCCTGCCCCACAGCTCTCCAGCCGCTCTGCCCCCGGCCTGCAGCGCTGCTTGGGGGTGCTGGGACCCAAGTGCAGGACCCGGCACTTGGCCTTGTTGAACCTCATCCGGCTGGGCTCAGCCCACCAATCCAGCCTGTCCAGACCCCCCTGCAGAGCCTTCCTACCCTCAAGCAGATCAGCTCTTCCTCGCAGCT